TGTCTCTTTCTGTCTCTGTCTGTCCTGTCTCTCTCTCTCTCTCTCTCTCTCTCTCTCTCTCTCTCTCTCTCTCTCTCTTCTCTGCTCTCTCTCTCTCTATATATATATATATATATATATATATATATATATATATATAATGTATATATACATGTAAATATGTACATATTAATTTATATATGTGCTAATATGTACACGTGTGTTTGTGTATGCATGTACAAATAGATTGATATCAATATAGATAGATACAATCAAGGTAGTTTCAATCAGGTAGCCCCACTCCCTCTTGATGAAAACCCTAGTTGGCAGCTTCCGAGCTATGCCTGCCACTTTATTCATTGCAACTATTCAAAAACATATTTTTATTTTTGTTGGCATCGTTTTCCTTTATTTTCTGTCATTTGTATTACTAAACATTAAAAAAAAAAATGCACTGAAAAACATACTAATATAATCGCACATAAAGGAGATAATGATGTCCTCATGTTTAGCCAATGAGAATGGGCCGTAAGATATCAAATAGCTAAATACTTAATCATTTGTGTAATACGGTTGATAATCTTATAACTAACAGGACTAAAACAAAAATTCTGCTCTTTTATTTTTGATCACGACGGGTTCCTTACCATAAACAGCCGTCAGAATACTCTTAGGAAAAGGACAGTTTCCTGTTTGGGTTCAACAGGCTAAATGGAAGTGAGGTACCTGGAGATATTTTTCAGAATGAGGAACGGAGACTGAAGAGAGAGAGAGAGAGAGAGAGGAGAGAGAGAGAGAGAGAGAGAGAGAGAGAGAGAGAGAGAGAGAGAAGAGGAGAGAGAGAGAGAAGAGAGAGAGAGGAGAGAAGAGAGAGAGAGAGAGAGAGAGAGAGAGAGAGGGAGAGGAGAGAGAGAGAGAGAGAGAGAGAGAGAGAGAGAGAGAGAGAGAGAGAGAGAGAGAGAGAGAGAGAGAGAGAGAGAGAGAGAGGTTGCTGTGCACAACGCTCTCTCTCTCTATTTATTTATTTATTTATTTAAAGCCCCTTCTTATCTCTCTCTCTATTTATTTATTTATTTATTTATTTAAAGCCCCTTCTTATCTCTCTCTCTATTTATTTATTTATTTATTCAAAGCCCCTTCTTATCTCAGGTTCATGTACCACCGAATGTGCTGCTGGTATTGCCGCAAGAAGAAAGACGAGGATGGCGCTGAGTCGTCTTCCATGCTGCAGAATCCTAGGTCGGTTGAGTCTTGAATAATCTTTTGCATTTTAAACGATTATTGTTATTATAATAATAAACTGATATTGATCATTTAATCGCTGTGTATTTTTTTCTGGACATTTAGTAACGAAAACTTCTTTACATAACAAGGTTTATTGATATTTTCTGTTTCTCTCGTGTTCTCATTGGCACCTATTTGCAGTGGCACGGCGGGACCAGCCACCCCTGCCCCTACACCCCGCCCCCCAAGTACAAGCCCAACCGCCGCAACATGCTCATTTCGCCGCCCATCTCGGCCACCATCCACCGCGGCTCCGACAACCCCCTGAAGGCGCCGTCGCTGGACTCCCCCAGCCCCTCGCCAGGCCCTCCGGCGACGCGCGCTCTGCCGTTCCCTTCGCAGACCCACGTTCTCCTCCCGGACATGGAGGCGAACCGCATCGTGGCCGAGTGCGCGGCCTACACCAAGACCCACATCCCCGGCTTCGTCGTGTCGCTCGACCCGGCGTCGAGCGACTGCCACGACTACGACATGGTGACCGTCTCGACCCGCCTGTCCCCCAGCGTGTCTACTCGCCCTTCGCCCACGGCGTCCTCGCGGCCGACGCCCGAGCCTTCGTCTCCGCGGGCGCGAGAGACGCCGGCGGAGTGGGCGCTGGCGCGGGAGAACGGCGGCCCGCACATCGTTATTGAATCGGAGATGGAGCAGCCCTCCTCCAACCACTCGACGCGGCCCGGATCGCCGACGTTCACTACCTCCACGCACCACGCCTCCAACACGTCGCTCACGAGCATCGCAAGTCGGCCGTGCAACCAGAGGACCTCGAGCCCGTTCCTGGGCGCCACGCTGTCCGGCGTGAGGGACCTCGACGCGCCTCCTTATCACCGCGTCGTGGAGAGGCCGCCGCGATCCCCGGGGAAGACTCTCGTGGTCTACAACACACTCTCGGGGGACGCGCTGCTCGAGCAGAGTAAGATCGTGCGCAAGATGGCGCTCATGAACAAAGGAGGCTTCGGGCAAGTGCGCACCGATGCCACGACCGTCTTCACGGACCCCATCTCGGGCCAGGCGGTCGACGGCGACATGCTGGGCCTGAACTACCGCCCCATCCCGCCCGACACGTCGGATGCGGAAAACCGCGTGCCCATTCCCATCGTGCTGGGCTTCGTTGCCTCGTATCTGGGCATCGGGTCCCTGCTGTTCGTGTGGCTGGAGGGATGGTCCATGCTGGACGCCTGCTACTTCTGCTTCATCACGCTCTCCACCATCGGCTTCGGCGACTTCGTCCCGGGCAAGTCGCTGGGCTACGAGACGCAGGAAGCGCAGATCAAGCTGGTCACGGGGTCCATCTACCTAGTGCTTGGCCTTGCCGTCCTTGCGATGTCTTTCAACCTAGTGCAGGAGGAGGTGGTCCTAAAATGCAAGGCGTTTGCTAACTGGATCGGCCTTCTCAAAGACTGAGGTCTCACTGTAATTATAGTACTGTTACTAGTCTCCGAAAATAATTAACTCAGATAGTAGTGACCACTTTGGTAGAACCTGAAACACAAATAAATAAATTTCTTATCCCGCCTTGATATGCATAATATATGTATATGAACAGGAACGTGATTTATAAATAAATGAGTATATGGGTATCTCATATAGAGCGACACACACACACACACACACACACACACACACACACACACACACACACACACACACACACACACACACACACACACACACACACACACACACACACACACACACCATACACACACAAACACACACATATATATATATATATATATATATATATATATATATATAATATATATAGTATATATATATATATATATATATGTATATCTACCTATTTATCTATAGCATATGAATAATGATGAATAAATACAAATACTTTATCTAAATTCGTCCCTGAAGTCCTTGATACATAAGAACCAGTGCACTGATCTAGTCCGTGCATTCATTCTCAATAATAATACACTGCCAGTTTCTTGAATACTGACTGTCACTAGATAATAAAATAGGGTACTAGATAAACAGAAAGACAAAAATTACCACATCCACACGTATTGTTGATACATCATATTTTTAAATGTTCACTCCGAACAAAACTAGTGCTACTGTGTATAGAGAATAAAAAAAAATGTTGAATGTGCAAGGAAAATGGCTGTGATAATTCTTTTCTCAGCTCTGCAATATGCCTTTTTTGTTATCTGTATTGTGTGTTTATTTGCTTAGCTTTTTGTGAGTATAACGATATTAAAGTGCGTTTTGATAATGAAATCTGCTTTCTGGTTGGAGATTTATAATAAACCCAGTTGAGTTGATAGATTTAATATTAAAAGCTCTAAGTTTGTTGCCCAGTAATATTTTATTCATTACCTATTGCTGCAAATCACAAAATGCAATTGAAAATAAATAAACATGTTCACTGATATCATTTTGTGTACTGTACTGTAGAGTAATTGGACTTGTAGAGAAACGTACATCAAAATATTGAATCTAGGCTTTTATTAAATAATTATCTTTGAAATTTGCATAAAAAATCTATAGATTAGGGAAACTATTCAAATACATTTGCAATAATATATGGAACTTACAGCCATATAAGTGTTTTATAATTCCAATCTCGATTGTAGTTCAGTTTCCATATATAGAATTTTCCGGAAGTTGTGATAATGAACCTCGAGAACAAAGGGTACTCTTTACAATGGCATTGTAAGTGGTAAATAAACAATTCCCTTTTTACTATAAGATATGAAGTGTGCGCTTGAAACAATATACTGTAAAAAGTGTGACTGTTCTTAGGGAGTGTGAATTGATTTTTGTACATATTCGTTATACAATATTCCCCCTGATGTATATACTGGGTAGTGTTATAAAACTATCATAAGTGAGCAGTGTTAATGAATACTTTTTGTTTCCATCTATGAATTCTGTTAAAAAATATTGCACACAAGTAAAAAGAAAGACAGAAGACAAAAATAAAAAAAATCTGTGAAAACTTGTTTCTCTTCAACATGGTATACATTACCCCTCTAGCACTATCAAATTACTTCGTGCAAATTAAAGCCTTATGCATTGCACTGTTCTTGGCTTCTACTCATAATAACAGATCTTATTCTTTCCCTTGACTGTTAAAACATCATCTTGAATGCCAATAAAATTCCCAGAAATGAAAATTATGGACATTGCATTCAACCTGAAACCCTAACAGTTTTGTGTCTTAATGCAAGCCTAGAAGACAGTTACCATATCTATACATATAGGATATGGATATATATCTTACAAAGTCTTCCATGAGGGTAAAGCATCTCCTTAATGCTTATAAGTAAAATTATGATACTGAAAGATAACCATTTGTCATAGGCAAAATTCTTGGCAAATATTCTATGATAGTCTTCTGGATTATAAACCACTTACAAACAAAAATTATGAAGAATCTAGCTTATTATCTGCTTTGTTTTCTTACAACTGTCTATCTGAATATCAGCAACAGGATTGTATCAGGTTTTAAAAGGTCCTTAATAACTATCATTACACTTAAATTACAACATATTTCTTTGAAAAAAGTCAAAACCTAGTTTTAAATACAAACTTTAAATGGTAAATGTATTTATAACAACAATATCACTCAGTTATTGTCACATAACTAATAACCATATAATTTTCAAATCATATACTAGTGACTTCTAGTTAGTAGGTCATAAATGCATAGAACCTATAGGTTATTAATAGGTTCCAAATGGTATGAATCATGCAATATACTGAAGGAGATGAAACACAGCCTTGGTCTTGGATATAATATTAATCATATTCTGTACATAAATATATCACATATTAAAATGACTTGTTCCTATTGTAAAGAGAAGAGCAGAAGGGAAAGTCATGCTCATGACAATTGGACTTTTTTTCTGAATTCTTTTACAGTTAAACAAGATAAAAATTAGTCTCTAAAAAATAGCCATCTATCATGTTACTCATAACACAGAATTTTGTAGGTCACTTACGCTATAATACAAAATTAAATTTCTAATTCAGATACACAAAGATGGGGTCAGTACTTTAAATGAACAAAATGTAGAACTAAAATAAAAGAAATCTGATTTTGTATAATTTTCAAGATGATTTTTTTGGGGCCCACTCATGATCATTACATTATACTCTTATAAAAGTTTAATTTTTGGTAACTTGAAAAATCAAATGATAATCTGATGGGTACTGGATACGTGCCTTGTAGATTCTACTGGAAACAAATAAGAACACTTCAGAAATGAATATATAAAACATAATAAATGTAAATAAACATAGTAGTGCTAGTATTTTCTGATACTGTAAGAATAAATAATATGAGAAAATCATGATACAAACATATCTTGCTTCTACCGGTGACAAGAGCCTTCCCTGGGAATGCTTAGCACATTTCCCATTGATTTCGCAACAAGAAAAGTTATAGAGAAAGAAAAGACTTATAAAGATCTTGAAGTTGAAACACACACAGATGAGTTATTCTTTCATTCATTTAATTAGCTACCCATTTTCTGTTTTCCTTTCTGTAACACAGCTATTCATGAACGCAAACAAAAAGACACTTGTACCCCAAAAAACACACACATACAATTTTATGTATGCTTTAACAAACTAAGCATGAAATGAATGGTAAAACATTCACTTGCACATCAATGAAATATGTTGAGTATACACTAACTGTTGAATGGAGACAAAGTCATGTTCTGGACAATTTCTACAAACTAGAATGGTAACTGAATGCACAATAGATGGAATACCATTCCGGCCTTTCAAACTGCTTTATGGATGGCAACTTTAGTAAAGACAAAGCTCACAAAACATCTTCTGCATGATTAGAAGCAACAAGTATTCCTTATGCATTGCACAAAGAAAATGTGTCACGTTCACTCATAATCCTCAACATTCTGTCAATGGAAAGAAAATGCTAAAAAGTGTACATCCTGAAGCTATGTGACTGAAGTATACAGGTCATGACATCTGAGTGGGGATATAACAAATATGAAGAAAATTATCTGGGTGACTAAGATGTTCACTAAGCCACTGTAATGGAGTCTCTCGTGGGGCCTCGATTCCCTGGATCACTACGCGGTCTCCTAGAAAAGGATAACATGCTCAATATATAAATAACAGTAGCAAGCACCTATCAGCAATTAAATCAGCCTATTGGTTATACTGAAAAATATGTATATTGGAAAAATTAAGTAAATTTAATTGCAGAAAATAGTAGCTGCATTTCATGAGAAAAGATGTTAATATATATTTCACACAAATACAAAATAAAGTATGTAAAAAGAATATTATGAAACTCATTCCAGTTCCTTTCTAAGCTTCAGAATAACTATGTCTCCAAATTACATTAAATGGTAATGACAGCATTGACTACATATCAGAAACCAAAAAAATATTGGGTAATATGTTTTGTGCACTATGATCTTGATTTCAAGGAACATTTCAATGCTGATCTAAAAAAATCAATAGTGAGGGGTTATGTATCCCCACCTCTCACCTTCATTACTAGAGTCGGGTAAAAATTCTTGCAGGAGATCACCCAATGTAACCTTCCTTCCGTCATCTGTGAGAGGTCTGATAAGCCTCTGAATTGGGGGCTGGCAGGGTAAGTGCAGACGGAAGGGAATGTGTTTAAAACCTTCCTCTGGGGTACTATCCATCAGCTTCCGATTAATGGCCCAAAACTGATCAAACTTATCTGAAAGGTACATATGTGGACTTCCATTTCACTGTTTTTACTCATAGAAGCTTCAAAATATTAGGCCTAGCAATATGACAAAACTATAGATTTATCAAAATACAAGAAAAGGATAACTATATACAAATATACATTCCTATATAATAATAAGAGACTTAAAGAAGGCAATGATAAAATGAAACATAACCCATAAGAAAAAGTAGTAAAAATATATATATTAAAACATTTGCCTTCTTACCATTACAAAGGCCCATCCATAATTGCTTGTGATCCTTGCTTTGCATATTGGTAATGATCTGCCCTCTGTGCTTCAAACCATCAGCTTCTTTTAAGGATGAAAGGAAATGGGACTCTACAACTTCTCTGGAAAAAGGAAGGTAAAAAGTTCATGTGGCGGGATAAATGTATTTAGTCAAAAGGATGAGAAGGACAAGGAAGAGAAGGGAGACAAGGAGATGGATGATGATACAGATAATGCAGATGCAGATGATGATGATTATGATGATGATGATGATGATGATGATTACGATGACGAAGACGAAGACAACGATGATGAGCAGAAGGGGAAAGAGGCAAAGGAGGAGGGAAAGTAAGAGGAAGAGGAGGAGGAGGAAGAGGAGGAGGAGGAAGAAGAAGAGGCAGAGGTGGAGGCAGAGGTGGTGGTGGAGGAAGAGGAGGAGGTAGAGGATATGAAGGAGGAGAAGGAAGACGATGATGATGATGATGATGGTCATTATCATCATGAGGAGGAGGAGGAGGAGGAGGAAGAAGAAGAGGAGGCAGGGGTGGTGGAGGAGGAGGAAGAGGAGGAGGAGGAGGAGGAGGAGGAGGAGATGGAGGAGGAGGAGAGGAGGAGGAGGAGGAGGAGGAGAGGAAGGAGGAGAGGAGGAGGAAAAAGAAGGAGGAGGATAAAAAAAAGGAGGAGAGGGAGTAAAAGGAGAAGGAAAAGAGGGGAAAAAAGAGAAGATGAAGGAGGATGAGGAGTAGTATCTTGAAAATTTTAGCCTGATTCAGAAAAGCTACTGAAACTTTTTTTCCTATCTATATTTAGAATGTTTTTAATCACCCAGAATCCTCATCAACATGTATGAAAAATCCCTTTGGTTAATTACATAATTCCTAAATAAAACATTATAAACTTCCTCTTATTGTAGTGGCTGGTAAGAGAAATGGAATTATTTAATATCATGAAAAAATTGGCAAAGGGGAAGGTGAAGGGAACACCACATCATGAAAAAAGAAGAAAAGGCTGAGGAGTGGATGACAAAAACATCTCATCCCGGGAAAGTGTTGCCAAATGTCAGGTGATGGGGACGTCTCATCATGTATGCACAAGATACTTGAAGTGAGATTGACCAAGTGAGCCTTCAATGAAAATAGTCTATCATCATCCTGATACAGCATAATAAATCACAAATATAGACCTCCAAAAATGGCAAAACAGTAAAATGCATCTGCAGAAAGAGGGCTAACTTCATTGCAAAGAGGAGGCTAGGAGTCTTGATACCGTGCATGAGTGATTGTGTGTGAGTGGGCCGACAAGCCACACATCCAGGAAAGTTGTCACACAAGGAAGCCTAAGGCCCAGTGAGACACCCAGATCCAACAGGTTAACTGCAAGCTCTTACACATCTGGGTCATATTTCATTCCTATATACTCTTCTAAATAGTTAGAAAATAAGTAAAATATTTATACTGTTACAGTGTTGGAATGCTGAATAACAGAAGTACACTATTGGTATTGGTACTGGCACTGAGTAGTATCTACTTTTCTTTAAAGTACCACTGACCTGGAAGAACACTTGATGAGCTCTTGCTCTGGGAAGTGAGAAAAGTGGGCAGTGAGGTTCCAAGGAAGGGAAGCGCCACCACAATGAAGGTCAAACAGAACACCAACGGGATAATGCCTGTGGACAGATGTGCTTCACCTTACAAAACATTTCAGTAATATCAGTTTCTTTATCAGTTTCTTTGTTGTTCCTGTTGCATTCTTTATCAGTGCTGACAATTGCACTCTGGTAAATATATGTGTACAAACTGTTAAGACAGAAAACTTCCTTATATTGAATTAAAGGTTCAACTAAGGTGTAAGCATTACTGGTGTAAGAAAAAAACTAGAAATTCTGATGAGCTATATAACTAGTAAAATAATATAATTTTTACCATTTCAAAGGAGTACCATCTGATTCCAACCACATTTCAGCATCATTGAGTTCTGTTGTGATGAAGCGGAGAAAATGTTTTCGTACCTGTGATAGGAATACATTTGATGGGTTAACATTGCTATTACTGAAATGATCAAACAAAATGCAACATGTTTCTCACAAGTTATCTTATATGTGATGCATATATACAATAAAGTGAATGAGATGAAAAGAGTCTCATTTTCACACATACACATTAAAAGAAGTTAAAGATGATCATATGCTCCCTTTGTTAAAATATAATTCTTCAAATATAATATAAACTTGAGCATTAAAATTACCTTATCCGTAACTAAAGGGAAGTAGGATAGTCTCGGAACCATGAGGTAGTAAGGGTCTGGGGCACTCAGCGTGTTGCAATCTTCACTCGCAAGCTGAACGCAAACTGCGACTCTACCATCCCACACTTCACGCAAGATCTCCCTGTCTTCAGCCATGGCTGATTTTGAAATTCAATCTGAAATTGATTGAAAATGAGGAAATTAATAAAAATTATTAGTACAAGACTTATAATTATAACTTAAAATAAAGACAACCTGCTAAATTACACTGCAAATAAGAAAAAAAATATATCATTTATCTACCTGCATTCCCATTCATAACTGGTCGGATCTACAGGCTAATTATGTATTGAATAATGCGTACAGGCTCTACATCTTATTAGATAAAGCCTGTGATTTCAACAAGATTCAGTCATTCTATATTTTCTATTCATTTGCATATGTAGCTCAAGAGAACCATTCTGCTTGACAGAATAGGGCAATGCCAGTATCATCAGATAATCATATTACTCTTAGAGAAAAAATGATAAACCCTGGCTTAGTTAAGTTACATAAATGATTTGTTTTTGAGTTAGAATAAATTATGTTGAATGGTGCCCATTATGACAACTACAGAAAAGGTTTGAATAAGAATGAATAACTTCACAAAACAAGAGAGCTGTGTCATGCTTGATTCTCCACTGATATGAAATTCTGATTAAGGTGAAATCAAAATACATCAAAAAATGGGGTATATCCTGCACTATCAAGATACTTCTTCTCATACATACTTTTACCAAGTTTTTAAGGATTACATTAGCAAATTACTGTCTAAGCTGAACTTGAACAATTCTTCACTGTAATTTTAGTTTATCAACTGTTTACATAAAGATGTCTCCACAAGTGCTTGGTCAACAAGGAGTCAATTATGTATCTCACCTATTTAGCTACCCTTTTCCTTAATTTTTGGAAAGATTGTTTTTATGTTATCTGATTACTTCTATTGTTATCAGTATCCTAATAAAATTACAATAATCATAAAATCAATAGTACTGATAAAAATATAGATATTAATAGCTTTAGATGAAAACGAAAAATGGAATCCTAAAAGTTCAAGGAATGGGAAAATCATTTATGGTCACAAAGGCCTACTAATTGATTTCTTGGTGGCTGAGCACTTCTGGAACCTTCGGAAAAGAATGAGCTTCATTTAGTGTTGTATGTCTGCAGTAAATTACTTTTCATTTTTTTTCCCCAGTTGTTATTATAGTATTTTGTTATTATCACATTTTGCAGCTCACTTGTTGCACTTGTGAAAGGTGTTTGAAACAGCTTAGTACAGAAAAAGAAACCTAAATATCATTTGCAACATTGTCTTCACCTTGGTATGCACGGTATGATGGAGCTAAAACTTGAGAGCACCAAGTGGGCATAGGCTGTGGGCAGTGCTTTTCGCAACCTTTATCTTTTATTTATGGTGTTGACATTTGTTACTTCAGACAATTTCTAGTACCAAAGACAGCAACTTTTTGGCCATTATAAGAATATTAACTTAAATTTGCACTACCTTAGTACATCCATATTGTAGAAATTAACTTCCTCATGTAAAGTGGTTAATCAAAAAACTTGGAAACTCATATGTGTGTGTTCTTTCAGCCTATATATGTATTATATCAAAATAAGAGTTTGTATACTTCCCTTGCTCTTTATCCCAAACTAGGGTACTAGTCTAAATACCATTTTGCTAAAATTATGTGGTATAATTTTGTTACCTTTATGGGAGAGACAGCAGCAGTAACCTCTTGTTACTACGTTATTGCTGAGCTGGACTTCTATGGTGAATCTAATATTGGCATTACGCTGAAGATTTTTCTCCTAAAATATTTTATGTATCATGTGCTCAGCTTTGTCTTTGCCTTGACTGTGCCAGGCAGTTACAGACTTGCTTCACACAATACCAGATTCACTTTGTATGGAAATGCATTTAATGTGCAATATTGGTTTTTAAAGGCAAACAGTTGTTTTGTTGACGAGACAATGTGACCAACTGTGATGGAAAGGGAAAAGTGACAAAAAGGGAAAATGGCAAATAATAAATAAGTGTCTTTCACATGCCAGAGTGCAGCACCATTACACAGCCTCTGCCTCTGTACCAAAGTACTGTGCTCTGAAATGAAGATCTTCCAAAAATAGGCCCTCAGATTTACCCTGGCTGGACTTAAGACAGTAGACTATCTATCACAGATCATAGTAAAATGGATGTGGAGGAAAACAAAAGTAATTTGCTTTTGGAAAAAAAAAAAAAAAAAAAAACACTGTGGGGTATTAGACTCGTAACTTTACTTTTCTTAGTTAATGTTACCTGGAGGGTGCATCACTCTGGAGGGTGCATCACTCCCAGTACCAAATACCTTTCTCATTTTTTCTAATAGGTCTGCATAACAGATCACGGCAATTTCAATATCGCTGGATTCCTCTCATCATCAGCAATGCAAATATGTAAGCTTTATTGCACGTCTAATGAATGGAGGCTGTGCCCACTGCAAACCCCCCATGCCCCCCAACCCCTGCCCAGGAAAATAAAGAATAATCCACGTATTCATAGCAGAAAGAGCATCGGACAGACTTGGCAACGCTACTCCTGCATGGCGGTTGTACGCTCTCTCCTGCCGTGAATTTACAGAGGATTCTTTGTTTTCCTGGGTGGGGGCTGATGGGTCAGCAGCCTCGCATGGGGGGAACTGGGGCAAAGCCCACTGCATCCAGACTGTGGAGTAATTTTCTTGAGCGGGGAATATTACATTTTTTCACGTGCGGATAACATCATTTTGTCTACATTTGCGCGGACGGATCTGCGGATGGATGATGAAACAAGTATGCCAAAAGGGCAAAAGAATTTTCTGTGCGGAAGACAATTTAAAAAAGAACTAAGTGTACATGGAGAGTTACCCGAGAACTACATTTGCGCAGACAAAATTTGACCAAATAATTTTTGCGCAGGGAATGCGTTCCCCACACAGACCAAACTCTACAGTCTGGCACTGCACCAGACAACATAGTGACTAATTTTGTGTATATTATTTACAT